CCAGAAACTGCAAGGGGAAGGAGGGGCTCACATCATCAATAAGGGTACCTGATCTCAAACCAGGCAAAGTGGGGACCAAAGGGAGGCCCAGACTTTACCAGTTCAATCTTCTTATTTGACCAGTAAAATGACTGAGACCCCAAATGGTTACATGTTTTGTTTATCAATAATATAAGCAACTATATAATTAGCACCTTATAATTTATATAGCCTATATAGTGTGTGAAAAGTCTATGGCTTTATCATACACTAATTAATCCTATATGTATTTTCAGGTCCTAAGAAATAATAGGTAAGTTACAGATTGACAAATAAGGATACTTTAATGATTAAATCAGAAACCTAGAATAAAACAAAATTTCTGGACTACACTGCAAGTTGGCTCTTGAAGTTAGTCTTTAAAAAAATTTTTTTCTGGACCATACAAGATAAGTTCTTAGTAGGTAGAGCTTCAATTGGTTTTAAAAGAAACTTTAACCATACTTTTGTTAGGCTCTGGCTGGGCCATGCTTTCATTAAGCTATGGTCCCCTCCCTAATCTTGGGGAGGTGAACCTTCTCTCTCTCTCTCTCTAATCTACTTTCTAAATAAACTATATTTTAAAAAAAAAGCTTTAGTGAGAAGTACATTAAGTAATATAAGGGAACATATAATTCAAGTTCAAGTTTTTTTCTTAAGCCCCCTTCATCACCTCAACCACCACACATTTACTAGAATAACTGAATAGAAATAAAGGATAAAAAATTAACTCAAGGTTAGAATAAGACAAAAACACTGGGGGGAATGATCTCTCTCTTCTATGATTTTAAATCTGATTTGGAATTCATTTACCTTTTTATTAACTATGATATTTTTACACACAATATGAGAGAGATTTCCCTGTTCATTAGAGATTCCACCCACCTTGTCATTCAAGAATCCACAAAAGATGCTAAGTACAAACTAGTTTGATTCGGCAAACATGTATTGAGCACCTTCTGTTTGCTCAGTGCTACGATGCTGGGAATATGAAACAAATAAAATACAGTTCGTATACACCTCGGCACTTATAACAACAGAGAACAGCAAACACAGTGGTGGAGAGGAATTGGGAACACCAAGGAAACAACCCCTGACTATTCCAGGAAGAAAAGCTAAAGGCTTCACATAGATGGGGACACTTGGGCTAGCTTTTGTGGAACTGGTAGAACTGCATCCAGTGGAAAATGGAGGAAGAAAGAATCCCAGGCAATAGGGAAGCCAATGCAAAAGCAGAGAAGATTACACACAGCATATACACAGAACAAATCCTGTTTATATAGAATGTGCAAGAAGAATGTATATAGATTAAATATTTGTCATGCTACATTCAGACAGCAGGGATATACCCAAAGCCCTCATTCTAAACTGAGTTCTCGTCCAAATTCAGTCTTTATTCACCTCTATACCCCTAGTACCTGCCACAGTAACTACCATGTCGTAGGGCAAGGATTCACAGTCGTCCCCTTCTTATTCACTCTTTACTTCAACTGTGGTATGAGAAATGGGCATTGGCTGCTGAGTTAAGATGAATATTCCAGTCTCCCTTGCAACTTGGTTGACCAGCAGACTAGATTCTGGACAACAGGACAGACATGGACATAGCATGTGCCAACACCCTAGTCATGTACCCCTGCAAAGAGCTGGGACAGATATTTATGATGTAAAGAAAGCAGCTGCACATTCAGGGGAACAGAGCAACAAGATGGGAAGAGCCCGAGTCCCTAGGGCTGGGAAGCTGCCATATTGGCCCAACAATGCTTACATTTGAACTGTAACATCAAAGACGAATTAGCTCTCACGTTGTCACTTTTACTTTGACCTCAATTACGGACACTAAACCTGTATTATAAAAAGTACCTCAAAGTGTTTCTGGAATGAATAATTAATTCACAGAATCCAATACCGTGAAAGAGGCGGGGCTGTGGAAGAGGGGAAAGTGAAGAGAGTGGCATGGAGGGTCAGGAACCCAGGCTGGACTACACTGAACAACACAGCAAAGAGGTGAGACTTTCTCTGGTAGGACATGCAGAATTATTAAAGTTTTTAAGTGTGGAAATACCCCTTGTTTTATTAAGATGTAGGACAAAAAAAATCCAGGCTCTTGGTTCTAAAAAAAACTGGTCATTAGTTCCATCTCAGTGAGAAACTGGAAGCTTTTTGAGTTTGTACATGCTCTGGGAAAACTCTCCATCTCCTAGATAATCAAATCGAATCAGGTCAATAGAACTAGCTGCTTGGTTCATGTAGCTAAATTACAGATAAATTAGCTATTTTGTTGTAATATGAGATATACTAAAAGCAAAATAGTAAAAGTGACAATGAGAGGTAGAATGAGAAAAGCAACAAATTAAAAGTAATCATAGACAAATGTAGACAACATCATTGCCAGGTATTTTTAAAAGTCCAAGAGATGTATTTCTGGGCAGTCTTTTGAAAATATGAGAATTAATGTTTATTTTCTATTCGTTTTCTACATGACTATCAGGAGAGATAACACAGTGAATGCTAAACATCTAATGAAGTGTTTCTTCTAAGAAGAAAACTCTTCAATAATGAGGAATAAAAGGAGCCCTAGAGAAATCTTCTCTAGTGCAACTGAAGGCTTCTTGTCTGGGCTGACTCTGAGTGTCTTTGGCTCTTATGGCTGTGGTTTCAGGAAAGAAGTGTCCCTTTCACCGGACTCCTTCTTAGTATGTTGTTATATCATTCAGAGCCCATGTTCTTATGTTCACCCCTAAGCACAGCATTCTCCCTTCCACCACAGAGCACCACTCTATTTTATTCCAGCTTCTACAGAACTGAAAACGTTTTTCTCTAATTGTCAAAACTTCTTTGCTAATTTCAGTAAAAATAAGCAACTAAAGGACCCACTGGCTCTGTTCATTCAGACAATAGTATCAGCTGAGCACTGCTTACCGAATGTGTCTCTGCTGGGAGTAATAAAACGACAAGTAAAATAACCAAGGTCCTTGACCACAGGGAGCTTAAAGTTCAGGTGGTAAGACAACTTGAGTCAAATAATTACAAACACATACTTACAAACTTGTGAGTTCTTTGAATGAATGTACAGAATATTATGAAAACACAGAGCAGATAGTCATCTTCCAGAATGAAAAGAATCAGAAAAGGTTCTCTGAGGAGGTGTAACTTGAGCTGAGGTCTGAGGGGGTAAGAGAGAGTCAACCAAGGGCAGGGGAGATGAAGCAGGGAGAGGGAATGTGTTATTGACATAAGACTTTGTGGTTTCTCCTTCCAGGAAAATGCTATGTTTAAGCAGTTGGTGATAAAGTGGTGCGTGAGGGGATGGACAAGAAGACATTAGAGAGGCAGGGGACCGTCACATCATGAGGTTCATGCTGATGATCTTTATCTTTATACTAAAAGCAATGGGACTTGATTCAGACAGTCAAGAAGCATGATCAGATCTGCATCTTTGGCAGTGGAGTTGAAGCTAGTTCAAAAGATGGCTCGAGAAGATGGCAGGAAGACCAGATAGGAAGTGGCTGTGATTATCCAAGTCAAAGATGATGGTGGCCTCTTGTACTCAGGTGGTGAAGGTGGGAGGTAAGGGAAGTAGATGGATCTATTAGATATAAGCACATAAAACAAAGAAATCCAATATAAAAGATATATATTCCCAAATTCTCTCATTACTGGACATTTCCATCTGTTTCTCAAGTTCAGGCTCCTGTAACCCAATCCGTGACAAACCCTTATTTTCATGTCAGTTTCATTTTGCTTCTATCCTTGGTTCAATCCTCACTCTCCTCTTAGGATCCTGAACAGAATCTTTATCCAGTCCCTTGTATCTTCCATGGAACCCAAGTTCTTTAGTCACCAAAAAGCACCATTTTATTTCATTCCAGCTTCTACAGAACTGAAAACTTCTTTTCTTTCTGTAATTGTCATTTATTTCTCACTGAGGTTTCTGGATTCTCTTTCGATCTACTACAGTTTTTGTTTGTTTGCTTGTTTTTCAGACCAACAACCAAGAATTTCTTCTCAGTAATGAGTATGGCATCATTGATTTCTTCACTATCGATATACAGATAGCAGCAGAATAAAATACCTACATGCAATGTAATAAGTCATACTTCCAGAATTGCTAACAGTCATGGCGTGTGCACTGGACTTTAATGATAAGCTTAAAACACATTTTGTGTTATAGAGTTAGATGACGCAAGATACATTCAAGATTGTGAGGCGGCTGGGTGCAGTGGTCCAGTCTGTAATCCTAGCATTTTGGGAGGCCAAGGCAAGAAGATTGCCTGAACCG